CTCCTCCTCCTCCTCCTCCTCTTCACCTGAATTTTAAAGACAACTCCGTACATCGGTTTGATCATCTGGTAAGATTCAAGAAGCCATGTGCTTTCGTGCCGCAATTTCAAATACCCTTCAAAAGATCATTCTTCAAAAGTCGACTATGCAGAAAATCTCGAGGACGGAAACACAAGTGCGCTTTGAATCATAAATTTACGCTAGGGCCGTTTGTGAGTGCGTTTATGTTTCAATTCACAACGAATCCTCTGGTTTTTTTTATGGCGAACGAGATTACTAGTAATCTGAGTGATAGCGCTGAAAGGATTTTAACGGCTTTGTAGCCAGAACGCAAAGCATTGCCTTAGAGGTTAACTGAAAAGTACGCATTGCTCACCCATCTGAAGTTAACATGCAGTAGTAAACTCTGGACAATGGGAGTTTACGAGTGAAAGCATATCCTATTATTTAGCTTTTGCATGTTTTTAGACTTGACGATAGGCAAGCAGCGCTCAAATGTCTAACTCCAATTCTAGTCTGAAGCGGACGTCGGAAAATGCGTGCATCTAAGTTGTCAGGCCAACATAAATACCAAACTTGATCAATGTGTCTACGACAAAATTTGTCCTGAATTCGAACACGTCGCACAGTTAGCCCCTCTGATGGAACAATAAGATGACAGTTTTCAAGCCTTACTGAGGGCGTATTCCATCCAGAATAAATTGGCGCTAAACTGGGATGACAGGTTATTGGCGGATGCGACAGCTTCCAATCCTAGGGAACCGATATAAATGCCCCTCAGGAGGGTCCAATTTTCGTACTAAGAGACAACACTGTTTGGGACACCCTATATCCTAACCCTATTAACATCTGTGTCCTAAGGAAGACTGCCGACAAAGAAAGGGGAGACTGGAATAGCTGTTTCTGGCTTATTGGCTCTCGCCAGCCGACCTTGTCCAAATCCAGGTATGCCACTCCTAAACCTCAGTCCCGCGTTCGTAGATCATCGGGCGGTATTAAGTGAAACGCTCTAGCAGTTGAGGCAAGTGGTTGCTGTAATCTATACAAAAGTATTTTAAAACCAGAAGAACTCCTTTTCATGGAGTCCCACAGATTGCCTGTGTTGCGTACCTTGAGTACGACAACTTTCCTAAAGTCCGTTTAAGCCTTATATAGCACATCATGAGTTGTTTGCTGAAAATCGGCTGAGTGAAACATTTGCATTGAATATGAACGTCTTACCAGATGATGATATTGTGCGTGACGCTGCCTTAGGAAGAGCAATGGCTTGCCTTTACGTCGGCCTGCGAGCAGGATTTCGACTGCTGTACATTAGCGGATGTTCTGCAGTACGCCTACGCAACTAAGGAAACATTCGCAAATGACCTCGTCTGAAAATCTGCTTTTTTTATTAAGAACTGGAATTAATCTGCACCTAATCAGCGATATGATGGACAAATCCATATCCAAACACAAAACACGTCTTTCTGTATGTAGGCGTTTTCGGTTCTTATGCTTAAAGTTCGCATAAAATTAATACTTGAAATATCCCTAGGAAGGCTGCCTGTGTCATTGAGGAAGCGCAGTGCACCGCGCATAAAGCCTTATTAAGCGCAACTCGATACTGAATGTAAGGCTTTTGACGCGAGTTCGAAAGACCACGTAAAGGCCCTACCTCGCAGGCAACTTCCAAACCCAAATGCATATGTTATTTTAAAAAAGTCATAGCCGTGAAAATGCTGCTGATAGGAACTCAATCAATCGATGCATTGACCAAGCGCCCAACAAACCTGCCATACGCAGTCACCTACAAACCCGGCCAACGATCCTTCATAATCGCGGCCTTTTCTGTTGCTGCTGTCACGCCTAATGATGGATTCTCGTACAAGTTCGAGGGCTTAAAGAAATAATTCCGGTGCGCGA